TATAATGGGCTTTAGGTATGAAAATGCATTTATGCATGGCTTGAATGCCCAAAAAACACAATGAAACATTTTTGCTAGTTGACCATCTATACTAATGTAAGAGCATTATTTATTTGAAAATTGTATGCACGAACAGGCATGAAGTGTTAAACTACAGGTCTGCAGCTAACCACCTTGGGAGTAAGGAGTATGAGGTCTCCCAATTCCCAAAAGAAATGGCAATTGCTAATTGCTTTTCCTTCCATGCTTTTTTATATGACACAGTATATCCAAACATGGATTGCATCTTCTTAATAATCTGAGATACTTTTACGTTTGGCCTGTCAGATACCATTGCCACAATACAAGACAATATAACATCAACATCCAACTTTGGATGGTCTTGAGTTAACAATGTGGCAAAGCATGTATGGGCCCTCCATATTTTGTAATCTGCCAAAATTTTATATTCTCTTTCTTGTAAGCCTTGAGTCTCTAATTGCAGTTTTCTCCATAATTAATGCATCGATATTCTTCATACTTGTTACATGAATAATGGACATTAAATGTGTGATGAACTCGAACAAAATATAACTTGACTGCATGTCTTAGGACACGAATATTGCTAAATATCTTTCCAATATATATCTCTTCATTGTCATGAAAAGGTAGAATTTCTTCTACTTCATTAAATTCAGGAGCCATAGCTGCCTCAACAATAACATGTGACAAGAAAGCAGTTTCAATCTCATTATGCTCGTTGTTGTCATTAAAGTCATGGGCACCATTATCATTCCCATCACCAACATTTAAATAAGAATCATACTCATCCTCACCCTCAAGTTCATCCATAATGTCTTCCAATGGAAAAAGAGAACACGATGGCTCATTATTACCAATGTCTAGGGGATGCTCCAATGGGTGAGAATTTTCCATGTAATCATTAAACATGGATACTTGTTCAATAATGTTCCCTTAATTGCTACTTGATGGGAGAGTATTTCCAAAATAATTATTCATTGGTCGTGATTCAACATGGCCATCAACTTCTAACTCACAGATGTTTGCATACAACTCTGCATCTGTTAGTTGAGTTGAGAATCAATGGCTCACTTGCCACATTTGTTCTATATCTGAATCATCCTCCAAATTGCATGCTTGGTACTGTGGTGGATTTATGCATGAAGGATATCTATATACTAGATTTGTTACCAATTTAGTAGGAGGAAATTGTAGCTTTTGTCTAATAAGTTGCTTTAGTCTATCCAAGGTAATATTTGGGTCAACTCTCATTACTTTTATAATATCTGACTCAAATGTTACACCAGCTAGGCCATGAAAAATTTGTCCATTTGCAAAAAAATACATACAAACTCTTTTCTATAATCTATTCTACTTCCTAAACATTACATTATACAATTAACATCCCAGTAAAATTAAATTATAAAAATAAATTAACTTAACTAATTTCCTAAATATTTATAAATTAATTATCTAACTTTTACATTTAAAATCAATGGAGTATTACTTATATGCAATAATATTTTTTATTTGTATTAAATCTTTTTATATGTAATAAATATTTTTTATTAATAAATTAACTATAAACACACACATATATTATATAAACTATATAATATATTTGTGTGTTTGTTTGTTGTCTGACCCCTCTCCCTAGATTAAAAATGTATAAGGATCTACCATGTTTATAATGTGTACATTTTTGCACATATCAATTATTATAAAAACGTATAATTATTTTATATTATTTATTTGATAAGTTTTTCCTATGCTACTTATATTTGTTATGATTAATATTATAAATATAAAATTTCACTTTTAAAATTTTTGTATATTATTTATTTGATAAGGCTTTCCTATATTGTTTATATTTGTTATGATTAATATTATAGATATATAATTTTATATATAATTTTATAGATATATCTGTTATGATTAATATTATATGTAATTTATTTCTTTATATTTTTAATGTAATAAACTTAAACAATTTTCATGCTTGGTTTTGACGAAAAGAGGTCTCAGCTGGTTCAAATACAGAATCACATGAAGCAACATAAAGAAAAAGCTGCCTTGCATTAGGACTAGGTACAACTCTTATCTATGTTACATTATTTTATATATATTTACATAATAATCAATTAATTTCAAATAATAACACGATGGAAACGCACACTGACAACATGGAGACACTTAATTAAATAACTCTATGAAAAACGTTAGTCAACATATGCAAATTTCTTTTAACTATAATCCCTTATTTTGTAATTAAAACTTTGTTGGACATACTATAAAAATATTAACTACATGACTACATCTGCAATTAAAAAAAAAACTTAACATGCAAAACATTAATAATTCAATATTAAGATTTTACTCAAAAAAATAATAACTTTAATATAAAAGTTGAAAAAATTATTAAAAAAATGTATCTTAATCAGATGGAGAGTCAGGCTTTAAGCAAATAAAAAAGAAAAAAATGCACTTCAAACTTTGATTACAATACTAACACCAACAATGGAAGTAAAGAAATGGAATAGACATAAAGAACTTTAAAGTGAAATAAGAAAAGAAATAATAGAGTACAAGAAATCAAGTAGACAAGAAATAAAGCAAGAATAAAAAGTGTAGAAATAAAATGTTAGAACACTAGATAAATAAGAGCAAATAATATTATATTTAACTTCACTAATGCATGAATGAAATGAGAAGAGCAAAAATTACCTGCAGTCGCACTATCTAGCTTCGCTTTGTCTCGCTTCAAATTATCTGATGCCTCTTCACGTTTTCAACCATTATATATAGCTAATTTTTTATTCTCGCATGCAAAGAATAAGTTAAGCTTGTGAGGAGGGAGGTTCTGCTGATTTTGACAAAGCATTCACTAGTTATAAGAATGGAAAAACTAAGAATAAGACATCCAATCAATAATAATAAATTGAAATCATTCAGGCAGAATGATTTCACTTTTAATGGCATAAAATAATAATTTATGACTCTAAAATTGTTTTAGGTGAGAATAATTTCTTTAGAATCTCAAACTCATTCTCCCCATAAACAATTTTTAGTGTAGTATTTCAAAAAATACTTCCCACATTGCAACATTTTGAGAATTTTTTTTTACTGTATGTAGCATTTTAGTTAAAAAAACCTATTTAATTGACTTCATTGGTATTTGAAATTTTACCCCAAAAAAAAAAACATCTTATAAAATGGGGCAAAAGGGAGTAACAAACATTTATGTGCAAAATAATGTTGTAGTGTAGTTTAATTTTAAATTTTTAAAGTATATTGCTTTCATATTTTTATTTTAATTATTAGATTTCATGGAGAATAATTTAGTAAAAAATTAAACTATGTATCTTACATGGTCAACTTTATCTCCAGAGTTACTAGAAGTAATTCCTACGAATGTTGGAGATCCACATTTGAATATTTGAAAAATATATTGATTTATCCAATAGATTTATACAAAGCTATTCACAAGCCATAAAACATTATAACGTTCTACATGTTTAAATATATTGAATTTTCTATTTGTCACACAATTTGTTAGTTGAATGTTGGTGCTTCGATGTTTGGCTTTTAGTTGTTGAAGATTTCATATCTCATCCCTGTTGTTATCTTTTTCATGTGAGGATACAAACAAGAGCAAGCAACTAGAGATTTAATCATTTTAGTGTATATACATACATATACATATACATATATATATATATATATATATAAAAGAAATAGACAGGGTTGCATGATATCACCAGGCATTAATGCCATGCTTGGTAAGAAAAAAAAGCAGAGGGAAGGAAAAAGTGGGAAAAAATGCCATTTTCTCTTGCGGCCTAAAAGAGAAAAATGAGAGAGAAAAAATTGAGAAGAAAATAACATGTGGGACTCATGTTTTCAATTCTAATTTTTTTTTTCAAATATGAGAAAATTTTGGAGAGAGAAGTCAATTTTCAAATTTATTCATAAATTTTTTTGTTTTCTACCTGTTGCCTCCTTCCATTTTCAGTATAATTTTTTCTCAACTATTTAAAGTATCGTATATTTAATAATTTAGGAAATTAAAATTAAAATTGGACAATATAATTTCTTTGCTAGCGTTAGATAAAATAATTTACCATTATATTTCATTTAACCAATAATATATAATAAAAATTATATAAATAATATGTTAAAATATTAAATTTTATTATATATAAATATTTGTTGCAAATAATAAGATTATTATTATCCATATAAAATTAAAAATTTTCCTGTCTCTCAGTTTCTTCACTAAGCCAAGAAGAAGAAAAAATTACACCCTCTACTTTTCTTTTGTAACTCATTCATGCAACTTTCTTTTTTTCTTTTTTTTTTTTGATTTGGTGAACCATATATGCAATTTTCCAACATTGTTTGATATTTCAATTCCCACCCACTAAAACCCAATTTTTTTTTTAAAGAATATAAAACCTAAGATGTTTAGAAGAGAGAGATAGTGAGTTAACTTGCAATACAAGTTGCTTCTCTAGTCTTAGTTATAAAATAGAGGGAAGATTAATTTTAATCTTATTTACAAGACATTTTAATTTTAATCTTATTTACAAGGCATTTTAATTTTATTTTTTTATGTTCATCTTTACCTTTCTATCTTTATTAAATGCTAAAAAAAAAATTTTGTTTTTATTAGGAGATTCAAATAAAAACTTATTAAATTTTAAAACATAGCTAATAAAATTTAAAATTTTTCTTGATTCTTAAGACTTATAATTAGGACCAAAAGAAGTACAAAAGTACATAACTTCAATTGAAGCTGTGGACATCAAATGTTGATATAACTTCTAATAATAATTTAAATATTAAGATTGCATATGTTCCATTATTAAAGTGCAAAAACTTTTTGAGCTCTGAATAATATGACCTGACTTGATACTTTCTAGCACGGATTTTTTGTGATATTGTATTAAAAACAGGCCGATTTAACAGTAAAAGATTAAAATTCAGACAGATTGGAGGGATTGAGAGGATCCAAGTTATATTATGATGGGAATTTAACATAAGATCAAAATTTGACTTACTTTTGAGGCTTCAATTTGACACAATAAAGAGGACAATTGATGAAGGAGCCAAGCAGGGCAGTACATTGGTCCATAGACAAAGAGATTAGGAAAAAGTGGTTATGAGATCTTACAAATTTCAGAACAGATTGGTCTCAATAACAACAGAAAATTCACAGCTCATAGCCTTTTGGAGTAACCTGAACCTCCACATTTCTTGCATAGTATCAATCCTGTGGTGTGAAAATCAAGCACTGAGATATATGAACAGATATATAACTGTGAAAGTTTTTTCAATATGAGATTGCTAAATTTAAAAAAATAAATAAAAAATAATGACAGGAAAAAGGAAAATTATTTTAAAGTGACCAGACTTTATATCCAAAAATTTGGTTGCTGATAGAATTAATAATATTATACAATCTATGCAGCCAACTCCACCTAGTGGGATAAGACTTATTGTTATTGTATTAGTAATATTTTAAGGTGACCAGATTAAAGCAAACAAATCTCATATAGTTAAAAATATGCAATAATTGCATGATCAAAATATATTATATGAGTAGAATACACATTACTTCAAAGACATTTGGTAAAATTACATGAACACCTCTTCTATTTTTAAAATCAATACAAACATCCCATGAATTTTATTAAAATTTACATAGACATCCCTTGAAACAAAAATTAGATTACAAAGACATCTCTTAAATCTTGTTGAAACTACACGAATCTTAACTCAATTATCAAAACACAAACTTCTCCTATATCAGTATAACTCTAGGAAGGTTCAGGAAAAATCTGTGTAATTCATTCTTTATTTAAAAAAAAAAAAAGTTTGTGCAGAATAGAAAATAGTTGAAGATTTGTGTGATTTTGAAGAACTCTTGAGAGGTCTGTGTAATACATTTTACTTTTAGGATAAGTCTGTACAAGTTTTAAAATAAAATAAAATTTTTGTATAATCTTGGTAAAATTCAAAGAATGTCTGAGGAGTTTACTCTTTAAAATATACTAATCTTAGCATTTTATCAATTGAGAAGAATTATTCGCAATTGTATTCTAAAGTGCCAGATTGACAACACACTGATAATTCAGAAACAGCCATATTATGGTCAGGAAAGCAAATTCAAGCACTCATCAAGGCGTTCATAAAACCAAAACCTACTGCTGGTGCTCATCAAGGTGACCAAACCAAAGTGAACATACAAGCCAAAATAATTCATTAATTGAGGAACGAAAATAAATAAGCCATTTGAATGTTGGAAAGAATGGGAATGTAATGGGTTGAAGAAATAAAAAACAAAATTGAACTAAATCACCCTCCCCCTCATGATAAAGCATGATAAAACCCAATTCCACATACCACAAATAGGGAATCACTACACCCTCCAAAAATTTCATAAATCAAGACTCACTACCTCACAAACTACCACCCACAAGAACATGGTTGGCTTATCTCTCCTCCATATTTTGAACATTTTATTTTTGTTTTTATTTCTTTAATTCATTCCATTTCCATCTTTTCCAGCAACCACATGGAACCAAAGATAATTTCAGCAAGCATCTAAACCATTTCGGTTTCAAAAAATGCAGTCAATTAACCAGAAAGATATACCTGCGCCCTTACATACTCTGCAGTCAGTTAACCCCTTATCTTGCATCATCTTACCGTTGTTGCAAAAAATGCATTTTGTTCCACCTGTTTGTCAAGAGTAGCATGACAACAATTCAGCATTTTCATCGGTATTCAAAACAAAACAAAGTTCAACTTGATGAAGGATTGCAGAATAAATTCAAATAATCAAGTGGCACTTGGTGTCAATGGAATAACAAAAGCCATCAGAGAACATTGAATAAAAATGAAATAAGATTTATTATTTGATAAATAAGGCGACTGTCATCTGTCACAGTAACTTATCACAATTCTATGCATATCCATATGCTGGATGACAATTGTATTGAAAGGAGATATCAGCAATGGCAGAGAAAAAGAAAAGAAAACAAAAAATAATAGCTAGAGATGACAACGATAGCAAGAATAATAATAATAACAAGCCTTATCCTACTAAATGAGATCGATTACATGAATTTCACGGTTTCATTATACTCTATCAATAACTAACTCTTTGGATATGTCATTTGAGAACCTGTAAAATAATAGCTAGAGAAATATTAAGAAGAAAAAAGGGCTCTGCAGTTCATCACTATCCACATATAACATCGATTTAAGACATTACAATGGAGAGAAATTTTACAAAGAATTTGGTCCGACTTCAAAAGTATGAATTGGAGAATAATTCAAATATCATCAGTAAAGAGTTACTGTACAAAGCTTAATTTTCTACTTCATAACCATACATTTGCAGAGAAATCCAACACCACGTGTTAAAATTTGAAAATTGCTTGTCATCCAGATTCCAGTCAGACCAAAGAATCATGGAGAAAACCGAAGAAATCATATCAACGTTCAGAGCAACAAAATTTCCATGCATCAAGCACCTACATAGTCCACATTGTTCTTGGTGGTAGTGAGCTTATAACAACATAAGCGAATTCTTTGATTATAATAAGCAAAAATATTTATAAGAAATTTATAAAGCACTAATTGAAGTCTTAAAAAATACATAACATTTGAAAACAGAAAATGCCCATTGTGAGTAAAGCACAACAATTTGAAATCCAAACACAGAAAGATCATTACCGTTGCCGCCACAACGCTCACAAGGCACAGGATCCCCCTGTAAAAACCTCATCACATATTAGCAAAACAAGAATAAACTTTGACCCACAATGTTACCAAAAGCAGGGTACTCTTGGAAGCAAAGATGAATGCATCTATGAGTGCAATGCATGTGAGTTCTGTACATTTTCTGAAAGAGATTAAAAAAAATGAATCATCATCACATGTTCCATCAAAAGAAGTTGGGGGGGGGCAAGCGGTATCGAAAAAAAAGAGAGAATAATCCAATTCTGCAACTCCAAAGAAGAGATTGAGCTCAATGTAATTGGCACCCTAAGAGTACAATTCCGTATTACTTCATTACCCAACTCCGATTCAGCTTCAATTTCATCAATAAACCGAAACTTCAAAAGATTGAAAGAAACAAAAATCGAACATTCAAGTGATAAAGCGATGCCCGCAGAGTCTATAACAAACAAACGGAAACCCAAAATACAAGAAACAGAAAGAAAATCCAAATTGCTACCTTAAGACCAAGAACCAAGGAGAGAGCAATTGCGACGAGAACACTAACAGTGACGAGAAGGGTCTGAGTATCGAAATTGATACTGGAACTGCTCACACCATTAAACAGCAAAATGGGATTGACGATCATCAAGAGCCTTTCATGATCCGTTGCTTTTTTCTTGGGCCTACTCTTACAGAGGAAGCGAGGCAGTGACGACCATTGGGATTTGGAAAGAAGAAACTGAGCGGATGTGGAAGAACAAGAACAGAGGAAGGAAGAGGAGGCGAAGAGGAAGAAGGTGTGGTGAGAGAAGAGAGTGGAAGAGTAGAGTGAGAGAGAGAAGCCATGGATAAAAAAAATTATAATATTAATAAAAAATGAGAGAGAGAGAGAAGGCTATGGACTGTAAAGCAAAGATTGTGTTGTGTGTTGTCTTTCATTGTGCGTCTACATGGTTGAGTTGAGGGGTATATATGTCATTTCATGTTTTTATTTGTTCTGCTTCGCACCATCTGGCCATGGCCACTCACAACCTCGAGTTTTGTTTTCTGGGTTCGATTTTGGAGTATCATAACCTATTGGGATAGTTTTTATGAAACAACTGGAGTAATTGATATCAATATCACTAGCTTTTATTTAATTACATACAATGTCCTTTTATTTTTTTAAACAGCTTAAGTCGATGCTCTTAATATTTGATGTGGGTGTTGTGTGATAAATTCATGAGCTAATTATAAGCGAACATAAATTCTGCAATATATGTCGTGATCTTATCTCCATAGGTTATAGGAAAGATGTTGCCAAAAGAGGCTACATAAGCTCCAATATACCTTTAGCCAATATCTCTTATAATATCTTAGGTCTGTTTGGTTTTCATTTTTTTAAAAAAATTATTTTATAATACAATTATTAAAATTGTTTTTAAAATAAAATAAAGTTAAAATTCATTTAGTTACGTCAGTTAAAAAAATTTTAAAATTTAAAAATAACTGATAACGATGATTATAAGTAGTTAATTGTGGTGATTAATAATGGAAATTGATTAAGGTAACCATAATTTTTAATAATTAAATGTGTATTTTAAAAATAAAAAATAAACAAAAAAATTTATTTTTCATTTTTAAAAATAAAAAATGAAACAATTTTAAAAACAATTAAAGAAAAACATTTATCCAAACAAATTTTTAATTTTTTTTGTGATCAAACTAAAAAACAGTTTTAAAAATAAAAAACAAACAAGCCCTCACTTCTTAACTTTGTTTGTTATTTTTTATTTTTTGATTATTGATTTCTACATTAATAAAAGATATTTTAATATTTTAAATTCGATGGAATTTTATATGTTTTACAATTTTTTAAAAATAAAATGATATAGCTGTTATATTTTTTTTAAAAATTATAAAAAATATAAAACTTGATCGTTTCAGCATTTTAAGATATCAAAATGTTTTTTATTTTACATAAAAACCACTGATCAAAGAAAAATGAGGAGCAAAGGTAAAAAGTTTGGACATATAAGGGCATTTAAGAAAGAAAGGCATATTAGAAGGGCTAAAAAAAAATCGAGCAATAAAGAGAAGGATAGAGAGCAAGAGGAGGAAGCTCGTGACAACGGAGGAGAAGCTATGAACTCTCGATAATAAAGATGACGTTGAGGCCATTTATGAGAGGGTAGAAATGAGAATTTTAAATTTTATCTCACATCAACAATAATAAATGAGCAAATGGTTACGATCGATTATCAAATGGAGAAAACAATAACTTGTGTGACAGAATGAAGTTCTAAGGAATAAATGGAGTTTGAAAAAATTTGGAATGTTTGAATAACTATTTTCAAAACCTTGGTTTAGGACTTCATAATTTATTATTTGTGGGTATAAAAGCACATTCCCATTACATGCTAAGATTTATTTTAAATTTTATCTTAAATCAACAATAATAAATGAGTGAATGGTTATAATCAATTATCAAATGGAGAGAGAGAAAAAAAACTTGCGTCAGAACGAAGTTTCAAGAAATAAAATAACTGGACTGAAAAAATTTGTGGTGTTCGAATAACTATTTTCAAAACATTGGTTTAGGGCTTCATATTTGATTATTTGTGGATATAAAAGCACGCTCCCATACATGCTAAGATTAATTATAAAACCAAAATTAGGCTTATTTTATTAGCATTACTTATTTTTCAATTCAAATTTTCCATTATACTTTTCTAAAAATTTATTTAAAAATCATATAAACTCTATTTTATAAATTATGATTTTGAATTTGTAATTGATTTTGATATATATAAAAATGTTCGGATATTTTTGCGAAAACCATATTTTCTGGGTCTATAATCGATTTTTAATATATCTAAAACAAGAACTCTGGTCTAATTGAAATGACTTCCCTAAAAATATAGTCACATTTGATGTGCTAATCTCACATGAGTTCCCTTATCTCATTTAAGGTGTTGATGAAGAAATGACTTATGGAGCTTCACTTTCAATTAGGATTCGAGCTTTAACCAAGTCACTACACTAGTTAATCTTTTATCATCTTGAGAACTGCTAGAGCTTGGCTGATGTTCTACTTAAATATCCAAGTTTCTTATGATGTGTTTGGATTTCAATGGGCAAAAATTTACTACAAAAAAATTAATTGACAAAACGTGATAATATTTTGATAATATTTTTTGAAATTGATTTTGATAATTGAAAATGTTTGGATAATGTTTCAGAATCAATTATAAAGATGGGGAAAATGGAAAATGCTCAAATGCTAAAAATTGATTTCTCAAATAGAGAAAAAAAAATAGCTTATACCAAATGAAATTTGGAAAAATTAGAGGCATTTGAATAAGAATTTGTAAAACCAACTTTGAATCTAGAATTGATTCTTCAAATGGGCTCTTAGTACAACCTAGGTATTACCATTTGCATATAGGCTATCACATATTGTTTTGCCTTTCTAGCTAACTAAACCATCTACATATCTAGCTTCATTCATCCCTCTTGCCACACAATTAATCCAATTTAAACGTATTTCCCTTTGCAGTTTGCACAGCTCTAGGCGATCTTTCATGGATTCTAACTGAAGATCTTTAAGGACTTTAAATACTAATGAAAGCAATGTCTCCACTTGAAGTTTTTTTAAAAAAAAATTTTAAAATTAGAGTAAGCCCCCTACATTTTATATGAAGCCCATGATAGATACCACTTCTCACATGTTGTAGACAAAAGTTGGAAGAACAATATGTGGTGGAATTAAAAATGATTGGAGATCAGATTTTTTTATTAAAAAAAAATTAGGTGAGTCAAGTCCTTAAAACTTACTAAGGCTAGGGCTACCTCTAAATTGAATAAAATTTTTACATCAATAATAAAATTTGAACTCGCGATCTTGTGAGTTATGAGTCAAATTATTGTCAATTGGATAAACTCTTAGTTTGGGGATGAGATTTTATCCTAATGATTGTTTTGGATAATATTATCAGCATTAGAAGTACAGATGCATCTCAAGTAGGGAAGCCAGCTCCCCTTGAGGCAAAATTTTACTGCCTATTTGGTTTTTCATTGATTAAAAATTAATTTGTTAAAAGTTTATTTTGCAAAAAAATAAATTTAATAAAAATTAATTGTTGTAATAAAATTTGTATTTTGATATTTTTTTAAAAAATCATTTGGTAAATTAAAAGTTTGAATTATATGTAATAAAAAGTTCTTTTGAATGTGCAATTACTAAAAAGGACATAATTTATATTTTTTATAAAAATGTTTCATATTAGAAATGTTTAAAAAAATATATGTTATAAAAATTTTAAATGACATAAAATTTGACATGTTTTATTTTATATTTTATTTAAGTTAAAAGTTACTTTATAATTATAAAAAATTGAATTTCTTTATTTTATTTAAACACAATTAAATAAAATTGGTCTATTAGACATGATTTAAGGATGAATGGTTCTTAGCTAATGATTAACACTAATAGATACTTTTAGTTCAAACTCCAACACTTATGTATACATTAATTTAGTTGAAAGATGTCTACACGTTGCTTTCAATATCTCAAGAGAGATATTCTTTACTATCGACAAAGTGTGCTCCTTATACCTATAAAATAAATAAATAACTTTAATTAGTATAAATTTTGGGCTTTACATTAAAATACAAAATAAATATTAATTCATGTATGGATGAATGGATGGGATCAAAACTTTTTCTTGTCGTTATAGTGTTACATGAAAGGTGTAGGCTCCAAGTCTCATTCATCGTGATATTCTTTGAGGATATAAGAGGTGCCATGCCTATGTTAGTTAGATGTAGATCTACATTTAACTAACTTAAAATATCGAGCACATTTATTTTTTTTTACTTTCCACTTTCAAAAAATAAAAAATGATTTGGGTATTTAATTTGACTCCAAATCAACTTTTCAAGTGCTTGAAGCTATTGTATGTGGATTTGGTAACAATAACATGGTAGAACTTTTCAAATTGAAAGTAAACAAACCAAACCAACCCTTGGAAAGATTTGGAGGGGTTAATTGATTTGAGGTGATATGCAAGGACTTGTGGTTTTAATTTTGGGAACTCAATGAGGAGGGGTAATTTATTCTTGATCTTTTGATGAAATACACTTTTGAAATTGTCAGCACTTGTTTTATGAAATAGTAGGAGTCTCTACTTTCATTATAGATAAGAGTGAGACTTTTTTTTATGGTAAGGAGAAAATGTTTCCAAACTTTACATTTAGGAAAGCTATCAAACAACGAGAAAGGAAACTAAGAAAGTAATAAGCAAGGATTAATCTAAAGCTTTTGAGGAGTTTAACTAAAATTGCTTTAGACCAAATAAAATGCAATAAGATGATGAAAGGGTAAAAAAAAAATCTCACAATCAAGTGTTGAAAAGAAGTGTTTTTTGGAAACTTGGAAAAAGACAGGTGTGCATGTGGCATATATTTATATTGTAAAGGATGCATGGGAGGGAAAATAATTAGTGAGAACTCCTAGAAGTGAGATAAAGAACTTTCACAAGAGGATTGGTTTTTATTAGAGATCATCAAAGTTCTCACTTGTTTTACATAGTATTGGGCGATTTAGTTGAACTCGTAAGAAAAAATGTCGCATGCGCATTCTTTATAGATGATATAATTTCCTTATGTGTTTAATAAACAACTTTTGACATGAAACGTACTTTTGAGCTTTTTAGATATCAAAAATTGTTTGGGATATTTTTAGTTGAATAAAATGACTTTTAAAATGTGAATTAAAATGGGATTTAGAAGTGAATTTTTAAACCCTATTTTGAGTTGGATTTCAAATGCTATATGAGTTGGGCATTTGATGAGGAGAATAAATTGGAACATACTTTTTTAATTGACTAAGTTACACTTGAATTTTTTTTTTTATTTCTTCACACGAGT